CCCCCGGGGGGGGGGGGGGGGGGGGGGGGGCGTACTCTTATTTTTGGCATGCCTTAGCGATTAGACCATTGACCACGCGTCCTCGAGAGGACGGAGCATGCGCGGGGGGAGGGGGGGGGAGAGGCGGGGGGTTCATGTCGTATCTTGCTTCTGTACGGGAAGTCTATGCGGACTATTGACCTCGCCCATCACTGCCAGTGCGGCTTTTGGCATTTACCCTACGGTGCTACAGCAGTATCCCGAAAAGCGACGGGAGAATGAGGTGTAAGCACTTTGTTGTCTCACCTCCCGATCGGCGGCTCTCTTGTTGGCCTCGTCGATGGCATGGTGCCCCACGAACACCCTCTCGTCCTAAACACACAAACGGCAACGACGACACCCCCAACGGAAAGGCAAAACAAACGAAAGACGGGGGACCGTTAAATTAGCACACACAAATAGCAGCAGTGAAGAAACAAGAACGGAGCCAACAAAAAAAAAAAAATGGAGGAACGCATACAGACAGACAGGCCGACAATCAGCGGGAGATTGACCAGGAATTTCAGAGCGGTGCACACGCAAGCTGCAGAAATAAATAGTACATATGCTATAGTTGTTTGAAAGGTGCAGAAATCAACTGCGCATTACATCACATGTATTTTCTCCGATACCATTTGTTTCGGACATCGGTCTTTGCGCCTTTTGGTACCGTGCGTGGCCCAGGCGTTTTTCTAAACATGCACCCGGTCCCAACCACTCCAGACGCAAACAAGACACCTCACGGCCACTAAATATTACTTGCCGACGAGAACACCGAACGCATGCAACAGCCCCAAAGGTGCCCATCTCATCAGGCACGCATGTGTAATGTAGCAGATACCTGGCCTGCGATTCGGTCGTACGCTCTCAAGTCCATCCTGCCAACGATGGTGGGGAAGACGCAAGAAGGTTTCTCCTGGCCGGCCAGACCCATCCTCGTCCAGCCAGAGCCGACGTCCATAACCACCGCCTTCTCGAAGCAAAAACATGCAAACGAAGCGAAAAAGATGCAAGTTCGTTGGGCCTGTCTTCCACAGACAGGCGATTGCCTGATATTTTCGCTGTCGATTGTTGTTAACATACTGAAAATAATAGAGTAGAGGAAAAGTTAGTGTGTCAAAAATCGCGAAAAAAAAACGCCTAAATTATCGAGGACAGGCCTTAAGTTCGTCCGTGCGTGTGAAACAGGCAAACGAAGGAAGAAGGGAGTGAAACGAATAAACGCTTGTGTGTGTTAGGACATGCAAAAGAATAACGGTTCTGCGTGGAACAACAGATGCAAACCAAAAACAAGTTTGAGCGCGTGAAAGCATGCCGCGTGTAAAACATGCCAACCCACGTATGTACAAACCCGCATGAGGCGGAGCGGGGGCACGGAGTGGGGACACAATAGGTATGATTGATTGGCACCGGTGGGGACTAACAATAGATGCGGTTCTTGAGAGAAGCATAGACCGACCGATCATCAACGAAAAAGCCCATGGGGAAAACTGCGTGCGGTTATTATTGTTAGCATCGACCGCAACGGAACAGCATGGAATGCAAATATGGAAAGCCGCAATGCGCAGCAGTGATATCCGCAAGGGCTGGCGATTGTGGGCAAGGTTTGGACGAAATTCAGGAATGATTGAGAGGAAAACATGTGTCATGGCAGGGAGATGGGTCTATGGCACCGATGTGTGTGAGGGTCGTGCGGTGCGGTTGTGTGGAAGCTGGTCGGAAAGAGTGTGGGTGCGGATGGAAATGAACCCGTAAAGAGAACGGTGTGGTTGTAACAATATGCCCCTAATTCTCGAAGTAAATAATACGGTGAGTAAATGCAGTATTTAAACTATTTGTTTTATATGAACTCTTAGATAGATTTAAAGTGAGCTTGTCTTGTGTTAGATTTAGTGGGGTTCCGTGAAGAAATGGCTTTTCAATGGTTTCGTGATTCAGCTTGTTGGCGAAGAAGTGACTGACTTGACTCGACTGGCTGTGGACTTGACACCGATGAACACTTTCGCGATTATGTGCGGGCCTGTTTTCGGCTCACCTCTTTGTGCCAAGTGGAGGGTAAGCTGCCCCGGTCGGGCAAGTTCGCTCGACGATCCCTGTCCTCCTCTAACAATTTGCTGCAAAGAAGGATTGCAGCAGAGAAAAAGGGGTCGTAGAGGTGGGCCATGGCGTAGGAATGGTAGGAAACCATCTAAATAAAACAGCGGCACTTACGCACGCATGCGTGCTTGTGTGAAGACGTTGGGCGAGGCAGGGGAACGGACACAAGAGCCGATTATTAAACAGAATATAAACCCCAACTGACAGGGAACACATCAATGATCACGACGTGAACAACGGAGAACATCAAACCAGCAACCTTAAATAAGCAACAAAACCTAATATTTAGTCAGACATGAAAGAGTAAAGAAAACAAAAAAAAACACACACACACAAACACAGACACACACATACCTCACTCCATGCGACACCGAATTCGCGCTCCCTGGAGGCGTTTCTCTGCAAAAAAAAAGAGCAAAAATAGAAAAAAAAACGTTATTCTACATACGAACAGAGGGCGAGAACTGGCCTACATACAACAACGGGAGAGTTGGACTATTTTCTATTCTGGTTTCCATTATTTCTGTTCTGATTTCCAAGGAAACAACGAACCAGGCGATGGCAGTGGTGGCAATGTTGGCCACGTTGGTTGCGGTGGTGAGTAACCTTCCTACAACCGCAAAGAAAAAACAAAAAAAACGACGAGTGCAAGTACATCAGTACAAAGGCACCCATGGATTGCTACCATATGAGTCCTCGGTTCATTGTCTAGTTGACCGGGCGAATGTACAAGTCTCCGGAAACCAAAACCATGGTGCATTGGTCTTTTTTCCCGTGAGATACTCGAGCATTCTTGCAGGAGGTCGGGACACCCGTCTTACACCGTAATCGGCAGAGTACAGCGGTAGCCCCTGCGTGAAGTCTTTCCGAGATGAGGACGGACGGCTCGCCCCCCACTCTCTCCTCGACCCTCGATCACTGTCTTGGGCACACAAGCGCAGGTCTAAAGGCGAGCCAAGGCCGGCAGCGTTTAACTACTGCTGTCGCCTGAAGATAACGAATACTGGTATTATAGTATACGAGTAAATGCACTTCAAACGCACCAAGCATGGTGATAATTTCGTTGGCGCACCTTGGAAGGCTTTCCTCCACGTCCGTTGTAGGCTCCACCTCCAGCAGCAGGTCGCTCACGTCCATCAGCTCGCTCGCTCCGGCCATCTGTATTGTTCATTTATCAGAGCTTCGTTTCGTATTGAAAAAACAAATGAGCGGGAGAAGCAGGACGCGTCTCTCTCGCTAAGGGCGCATGTCCATGACTCGAAGGAAGAGGGGAGGGAGGGGGTTCAACGGATGGGAGCGTCGTCACCATCCTCGACTAAAGGACGCTTGTTGTTGCTCTTGTTGCCTTCTTCGTGAGCGTCGTCACCATCCTCGACTAAAGGACGCTTGTTGTTGCTCTTGTTGCCTTCTTCGTGAGTGTGGCAGTTGGCGCTTGTGCTTGTTGGCCGTTGTTTGTGCGTTCGTTGTCGCTCATGTTCTTTCTTGTGAAGGCAGCGCCAAATTCAACACATCCCATTCTCTCTACACAAGCAGCACCAGATTCAACACACGTACCAACCAACAGACTCTTCAAGCATGGATGTAGGAAGAGATCACGCTGCCCGCCATGCTGCTGCCGCGGTGGGGAGGCTGTAAAAAACTCCCAACAAGCCTTCGGGGACCCCGTGTGTGACCACGCGCTTGCGTGCATGGGGGGTGGTATCAAAGAGTGGTCTTCGCGAGGTACTAAGCTTGGTTCTAGTAGGTGGGGATAGGGATAGGGATACCAAGCCCCGCTGTCTACTTCAATAAAATCGTCGCGAAGGCGGTGCAACCCCCCCCCCCACCTACCACGGACGGCCTTCGCCAGGATATTTAGTATTAATCAAAGAAATAGAGAGCGGGATTTCGCATCCCAAACCTCAACCCCCCCCCCCCTACTAAATGCAAGCTTAATATCCTACGATATGCCACTGCCTACGCTACCACCCACCTCCTTAGCCCGATTCCGCTCCTCCTCCGTAACGTCCGCGCAGTCCAGCGTCACCAGCCCCGGCAGCCGTCGCACCACGTGAAGCCGGTACCGCTCCTCCTCCTCCTCCTTGCCCCCCTCCCCCGTCCTCTCAGGGTCCACCTTCTTTCCTCGCCCACCCCCGCCGCCGCCGCCACTGCCACCTTCAGCCGCCACCCCCTCCTTCTCTTCTTCCGCTGCCGTCGACGCCGCGCCTGTCGCCTCAGAGGACGTCGACTTCGCCGCCGCCGGCCACACCGGGTTCCCCATGAGCGCGAGGGATTTTAGCCGCGGGAAGACGTCGTTGACCTGCGTTTGGGTTTTTCAGTGTTCACGGCGGCGAGCACACACGCGGTTCGGCGGCGAAACAGAACCGCGTCAAGACGGTGGAGATTCAGAGCAGTAGACGGAGGCGGCGGCGGCGGCGGCAGCGGCGGATCATCTAGGAGGTCGCGCGCCACCACCTCTGAACGACGACAACAAGCGAGGAGGACGCAACAACGTCTACAAGAGAAAGAGGTGTTTGTATGTAAGTGTCCCTAAAAAAAGAGCGCTCAACCACACGCCCGTATCTCTCTCTCGCATGGGGCTCAGCATTCAACGTTCTCAAAAGAAACCCCCACGCAAGAAACCCGCCCCCCATCCCGCCCCCCCCGCCACCACCAGGTGGCACACAAGAATATGTCCCAAAAATGCCGTGCAACGCAGCAACTTTCTCTCGAACGACTTAATTACCTACTGGAAGGCGTGGTTTTAAACCTCGAGTGTCGATCATGCACCCGTAGTAGCCCGTCAGACTTTCCTGCGTGACGCGTCTCTCAGAAACAATGGGGCCTCGTCCCAAACCCGAAAGAAAAGGGCCATGACCCCCTCCCCCCGCGAGCAGGCAACACGAAGCACCGGGAAAGACCCCCCACCTCCCCCCCCAAGCATGTGGGTAGAATGCATAGGTACCTGGCCCAGGAGTCCGTCTAAGTTCTCGACCTCGTTGTTGCACAGCCACAGCGCCTCCACCGCCGGGCACCAAGGGCAGTCCATCGGCAGGGAGAGCAGCCCGTTGCTGTCCAGCACAAGGGTCTGAACATTCGGAAACGCGTCGAGCCCTCTCAACCTGTGCATTTGCCAAATGTTGTTGGTGTTGATCTTCGCTGGTTGTTCGTGCTTTATTCGTCGTGCTTTATCTCGTCGACGTCGTCGTGTGACAGCAATCATCGTTGGCTTCGGGTTCGTTGGTGTGGTTGCGGCGGTGTGCAGACGATCGACCGCCGCGATGCGTCTTACGAACGATACCAGCCGTCCCCGCTCCGACCCCCGCTCCCATCACCACCGCCCTTCAAAACACTCCACCCTTGCCTCCCCCCCAAGCAGCTTTTGCTCCGCCCCTTCGAGGACGCGTGGTCAAAAAGCCTAACA